TTCGTCACATTTTGCTAGTTAATATGCTCATTGATGTTCCTGCTTGTCTAGGATTTCACTAATTAAGAAATCTTCTTTTCTATTCTTTTCTGTTTTTTTTTTTAATTTTTTTTTATATTAGTTCTTTTAGCAGTAATTGATCATTTGTGATTATTACTCCGACATAGATGTTTTGTGAAATTTGAAATTCAAAGCAATTTTGATTGCACAGGTAAATAAGACATCAATAGCGTATAAAATCTCTAGAAGAAATTAATGATCACCATGAAGAGGGAACTTCGCAAAATCACTGAAGTACGTGTTCCTGAGGATCCATTTATGAGTCCACATATTTCTTGAATTTTTCATTTCACATCTCAATCTGTGCCACAGTAGCGTGAGTTACAAACAAGTGCGTGATGAAGTTTGTAGATAAAGTAGGATCCACAGCTTTTAGTAGAAATCTTTTTTGAGTGTTTGCAACCAGTAGAGCGATCACTAAAGCAGACCGTCCCGGGAACTTCACCATCTTCCACTGAAACACGAGGAGTCATCAACCAGCCTGACCAGTCTGTACCACATCTGTATGCTTCCACACGGGTTGTTGGCATTTTTGTTCCTGCACCTCCCACAAAACGATACCATCCCTCAGGGAGATCATTGTCACAAAACAATGGTCCAGCTACCTTGGTTTTGTGTTTTATATTGCGAGTGGCTTCACTCAGGTTTGAGTAATGATGGCAAGGATCGGCTGCAAAAAAATTAATGATAATCTTAAGAGCATTAAAGTCATTAGAATCAATTGCAAATTGTCTTTTTTACTATATTCATATAATTCGAGCAGTTTACAAACCAGCAGTAGACCTTGCATTTCACGAGAATAATAATAATAGCTATTCATTAGATGGCTTTTGTTTTTTGCCGATATGACGCACCTTCTGATTGGCTAAAAGCGAGATGAGAGCAAGGCATTTCACAGCGGTAATGTCCACGGGCTAATGAGAGATTATGCAGATTTAAATATATTCTGAGCAATGCATTCCGAAACATTGGGATTTTTTTCCCAAAGGGCCGTACGAGTTTGGATTATTTTGAAGCAATTTACTTTTTTTTTCTGTATGCTCTCCAGTTGACCATTTCCAATTGTCTTGAAATTCTAACAAATATTTTCTCATCGAGTCGTGTCACCTCCATATTAATATCAGTCTTTTGTAAGGCTGCGAATGAAATAATTTTTCCGGAAAATAAATGCATTCTTGATGGTATACTTGACAGTGGTGTAATTCACCGATTGCGTACTTTTAACGCGGGTTTGAGTCGATAAATGAATAATTAAATGCGCACCTCGCCGGATGTTAATTAACAACTTCCGCTTGAGTAAATATTTCTTCTTTCCAAGGCAAAAGCTGTATAATAATTTTTTTGGAAGAAAAATTTTATTAGTTTTAAGAAAAGCAGGATCTTTATTAGAGTCCCTTCTTTCTTAACAGCGTATCGAAGGATAACTCAAGGGAAATACGCGACTTTGCTTATACTGGTCAGAATGAACGCTTGTATCAGCAAACTCTGTACCAGGTCCCTCAAGGGGCACGTTGTTCAATGCAGCCTCAATCTTTGTTGCTTTGGAGTCTCGAAGATATCTTCAGAGTAACGTGAATCTAAAGAAAATCCCCCATTTAATTTTTGCAGTGTTTGTTCAATCCTGCATGCTTTCCTCTTTTTGACTCGATTTTTAATGGAGAAAAAAATTTTGATATATTTACTCAGAAATAAACATCTAAGAGAAAAATCGCAGGACAAAATTTCAGAATTCGATGAAACCGGTGAGTACAGTGTCACCAGCAAATTTTGAACATCGACTTCGGACCAGTTTAGAAGGGATAGCTACGTTTGCGTTTCGTTCGTTCGTTCGTTTGCGCACGCGAAGAACGAGTCTGGAAGATTGAAAATAATAAATATAGCGAATGTCAATACTAACATGACAAATGAAACTCGAAATCACAAATTTAACACTCGTAATTTTTCAACGCCAATTTTTGTTACAAAAAACACGATTCTGTACAAAAGGTCCAAATACTATCAGCGACAATCTGAAACGATAAAAAGTCAGCCACCCTAATAGTAAGATGCAATAAAAAATTTTTCAGGCTCTTATTATGGAGCACGCACATTAATTACATCTGAGGTTATTTTAATTTTTTTTTATTTATTTATTTTGGTAACAGGGGTTCGCAATATTAAAACAAGTAGTCATAAAAAAATTACGTCACCGATCTCTAACGTTTTGTTTCAAAATATACATGCATTGAGTTTTTCCTTTCATCTTCGTTTAGTTGTTCAACTCATTTACGAAGTTGTGCACCTTTCGTTTCACACCGTCGTCTATTTTTATTGCAAGCTCCGTCCGAAAGAAGAAAGAAACAAAAAGCAACGAAGATATTCATTTACAGCAATGAAACACGATTTAAAGGGTCCGTGACATGATTGAAGGTGACGTAAAATAACTTATCAAGGATCTTATGTTCTAGCAATTTCGATTACTATGGAGGAGATGTTGCTCTTTTCCAGTCCGCTCAGGTGGACTTTTTTAATACTAAACAAAATACATCAAATTCACCTGTGCAATTTTGTCCATTTCCAGTATATCCAGGCTGACAGTAGCATTCATGTGATCCAATGGTGTTGGTGCAGTTTGCATTCTCGTGACAAAAGTGGTTTCCTTTACACTCGTCAACGTCTATAAATTGACAGATAAAAACGACGGTACCAAAATTATGCAAAAGTTGTCGTGCATAAGCCAGCACCGTGTTAAAGCTGCAAGCTAAACCTCTGGCTGGCTTGCGAGAACGCTAGATTATCGTACATGAAGAAAACAAGTTATCTATGTAAAAATCTCTCAATTTATAACTTTTAGTCGAGTAACTGCTTCACCTATTTTGTAGAATTAAAACATGGCTTGCCACATTACCAAAATAAACAACATCAACAAACTCCCAACCATTCAAAAACTCGTTATACTAGTCAACTCGAATCTGAAGGCTCTTCGGACTGTTGACTGTACCTGTACAATTCTGTCCATCTCCGATAAATCCAGGTTCACATGTACACACATATGATCCGTGTGTGTTATTACACGCAGCCTTCTCGTGGCATTTGCCAGGGCTCGTGCCGCATTCATCAATATCTATCGTAAAATTAGAAAGAAAAAGATAAAAAAAGATGAATAAAATATCAGCTAAAGACGTAAGCATTTTGGTTTCTATCTTGAAGGAGCCATGGGATCCTAGGAGTTCGCAAAAACCTCAATTTCTTCGAAGCTGTCTGTTATAAGTGCTTCTCTGGTGGAAACTTTCAAATAAGGTATTATTTCTGAACTCTCCTTGAAGTTAAGCATACAACATATGAACTGCTGTTATATGCATTAAATTTGCCTGTACAGTTTTGTCCATTTCCAGTATATCCAGGCTGACAGTAGCATACGTGTGATCCAAAGGTGTTAGTGCAGTTTACATTCTCGTGACAAGAGTTGTTTACTTTACACTCGTCAACGTCTATGAATTAATAGATAGAAAAGAGGGTATCACGATTATGGAAAAGTTGTCGTGCATAAGCCAGCACCATGTTATAGCGTGTAAGCCACGATTGTCTGAAACCTTTAGCAAGAAACATTATTTTATTCGTGTATTTTTCCCCTGCTTCCTTCCGTGAAGCATCCATTGGCAAATGCCACGAAGAGGCTACGTGTAATAACACATGCGGATCGTACGTGTGTTTATGCAAACCTGGATTTATCGGAGATGGGCATAATTGTACAGGTAACCGTAAATAGTTGGTTTTTTGGTTGATATTTATTTTGATAAAGTGGCAAGCCATGTTTTAATTCTTCAAACTAAGTGAGACAGTTACCCAACTAAAAGTTTTTAAGTGATGGCTTTTGCATAGATAACCTGTTTTCACCAGGTACGACAGTCTCGCGTTCTCGCAATCCAGCAAAGGATTGAAAACAGCTATGACTTGCACTTTTTAACAAGGTGATGGCGTATGCACAGCAGGTTTTGTATAATTTAGAAATCTCATTTTTTTTTTTCTGTGATTTCATAGACGTTGATGAGTGTCAAAGAAACCACTCCTGTCGTGAGAATGCAAACTGCACAAACACCATTGGATCACATGTATGCAATTGTCAGCCTGGATATACTGGAGATGGACAAAATTGCACAGGTGATTTGATTCACATCAGAGCAGTTCATATGTATCTTGATTGCACAATAGAGTAACTGCAAGGAGAATTCAGAAATAATAGCATAATTGAAATGTCCCACCAGAGAACTACTTAAAACAGAAAGCTGAAATGAAATTAAGGTTTTTGCGAACTCCTATGACTCTGTTAGAAACAGAAATGCTTATGTCTTAAGCTGATATTTTATTCAATTTTTTTTTCATTTCTAATTTTGCAACAGATATTGATGAATGCGAAGCAAACCCCCACAAATGCCACGAAGAGGCTGCGTGTAATAACACACACGGATCATATTTGTGCACATGTAAACCTGGATTTATCGGAGATGGACAGAATTGTACAGGTACAGTCAACAGTCTCAAAAGCCTTCAGAATCTTGTTGACTAGTATAGTGAGCTTTTGTTTAGATGATTGTTTTTCGTTGTTGTTTATTTTGGTAACGTGGAAAGCCATGTGTCAATTCAAAAAAAATAGGTGGCGCAGTTGCGCGACTAAAAGTTAAAAAAATTGATAGTTTTTTCAAAGACAACCTGTTTTCTTCATGTACGACAATCTCGCTTTCTTGCGACATTTATCTGTCGTCGAATTAGAAGGAAGCAGGGCGAAAATACACGAATAAAATAACAAGTAAAGACATAAGCGTTTTCTTTCTATCAAAGAGCCATAGGAACTCAGAAATTCGCAAAAACCTCAATTTATTTGTAACTTCCTGCTTTGAGTGGTTCTCTGGTGGTAACTTCCAATTAAGCTATTATTTCTGAGCTCTCCTTGCAGTTACTATATTAAGCATTCGACTTACTTTTAAACTGCTTTTATTTTGCCATGGAAAGGCGTCGAACGTTCAAGGTAAACAAAAAAAATAAGAAAAATAATACAACAACAAAAAACAACAACAAAAAACAGCAACAACAACAAACAGCAAACAACTGAGACAAACCAAAACAAAACGAAAATATACAAACGAGCGAACGAAGAATATATTACACACGCCCAATAAAATACAATAAGAAATTTTCTTTTGGAAAGATTCAGCACCTTATAATAAACAAATTCACTCCACTTTCAGCAACTGAAGAACAGTTGTCATACCAGCATTGAAAATTAGAAAAGAATCTCATTTACGTTCATTTCAAGTGTTGACTTAGACTCGTACCCTTTTCACAATGTTCTCCCTTGTATCCAGAAGGACACAAGCATCGATATCCCTTGAATGTAAATCCAGACTGGCAATTTGCATTATTTTGGCACTGGGGACTCTTATCACAAGCGTTCTGAAGGACAAAAACACAATGAAACGAAATAACTAAAGAAAGATCGAGAATTTGAGTGAAAGAAGGAACCAAATACCGAGTGATCGAATGCACGAGAATTTGCCTAAACATTCATATCGTTTTTTAATTATTCCAAGGCGATAATTATGAAAAATCGATTGGTAACTCACCTTCGAGCCACGATAATAAAACTTGGCATCAGTTGTCAAGTCACTGTCATATTTCAGATGCGTGGCGTTATTTAGTTGACAGTTATAACCTGTTTTATCATTTTCTGGATCTTTTTTGTAGTTGAGACTGACACAGTCGTCGTTCAGGTAGCAAAAGAGTTCACAGTCATCCAAGTTCTTGACGCGTTTTTCATCAATGGTATGGTTTACCAAACGTCTTTCAGCAAAGAAGTAGTAGTCCGGAAACACCATTGCGCGCTCTCTCTCTAAAATGGACAAATTGAAATATGATTATAAGGCATACTTTTCCGTCGCAAAAAAATTAAATTTGACGTAAAAATTTTTAAGAACAAATCTCTTAGCAAAATTTCTCGGATCTCAGCAAACTATGGTAACAAATTCGTTAAAAACGTAAGTCAAACAAATCAGTCGGTGAGAAGAATGATGATTCGTTAAATGTAATGAAAAACTTTGTAAATTGCTTCGCCGTTTTCTACAATTAAACAACAACATAAAAATACGTAAACGGCGGTGTTAGACAAGGATTTCCGGCCCTGAGAAAAACCGTAACAACGCACGTGGAAAAATGTCTATTTTTTTTACGTGTGTTGATATAGCCAATCAGCTGCTTACACTCGCCTTTGATGCCACTCGGTCAGGTTGATAATTGAACGGCAAAGCCTTCACGATTCTCAATACAAGTTGTTTGTCGGAGTTTTATTATTATTATGGCGGCTAAAGCACTAAAAAATCCGTATCACTGACAGACAATGAGGTTCAAACCTTCCAAGAAGGGGAAGAAAACCAATATACTAAAAGAAAAACCGAAAGTTGCGTATTCGGTGGCTTTGGGGATAGCATTTCTCTCGGCTAAAAATGAAAATCGACAGCTGGAAGATTTGCCACTGGCCGATTTTGGCAGTTTACCTGAAAAACTTCTTCTGTTGGTAAGGAAAAAGTCAATAAATGAGAATTTAGTAAATTTAAAATTACAACCATTGTTGTTTTTGTAATCACGATTCAACGCATTTTTCCATCTTAAGAGTCAGAGCCAACGCAATCTGCGATTGTTTTTCGAGGATTGTCGATTCATTTATTTTCATTGATTAATGAAGTCGGCTTTTCTTCCCAGTAAAGGGCTATTGTGTTTATATGATAACAAAATAATACATGGTTGCTTGTAGATATGGAATTCTCTTTTCGTGTTCAATTCAACATCTCACTCGTCCATGATTATTCCTACACGCGCCCATGATTATTCTCTATTTATTTGATAGTTTGGGGGTTTCTGAGGTACGGCACCTTTACGGCAAATATTTCGAGTTTCACATGACTTTGGCAACTCAAGAAGCTCGTGCGATTTTAGATGAGTTTATCATATCGATAGAAAAGACGATCTCATCAAACACTCTGTGAAATTCCTACTTCAAAGGGAGTTCATTGGTGTTTGCATTTTTGACGTAGTTGTCATCAGTGTCATCAACACAGTTTAAATATTATCATAGGGAGCCTTTAATACCTCAAAAACTTTGATCAGGGATGGTCTTAAAGGGGTTTTTTTTTTATTATTTTTTTTTTTTTATAACTTGGTTTTGCACTTTATATAAACAGCTTGACTATTGAGTGTTTATTAAACAAATTTAAAACTGAAGAGCTCCCTTGCGGCTCTTTTCTTCTCACGATTATCGTGAACAGAGGGAATTCGTGCAAATTTAAGCCGAGAAAAACCATTCTTGCTTGTTTTGCGTCAATGAGCAGATTTGTATTCGTTTTCGAAAGTTTTCTAAACGTACAAATGTATAATGAAATCTTAACATTTTTACTTTTGCAAGCCAATGTAAGTTGTTTGAACTGCTTAGCTATGGTGAATATAATCATCTCTTTATTTGCGATGCTTGTTTTCTGAGAACAACTCATTTATCTGTTCATAGTTTTAATTTATTAATTTTTTTCTCATGTCGAACAAAGTCTACCCGCATCATTTTTCTGCTATTTAAAAACATTGATCACGGCAACAGAGTTTTAAAAATACAGGATTTTAGATTTTTTAAAACGACACTTTATAAGCTCGGCGCATCCACTGTTGTGAATCAGCGAAATAGAAATAAAGAGTGATGGAAAATAAAATAGCTCGGGCTAAAGAATAAATATAGCGATAAAAAATGATTCGCAGTTTGCTACTCACCTTTACCAAACGTAAAGTAAGTAAGCGGTTCGAGCACGAAAGAAGTGTATGGAGAAACACGAGACGTATTCGAGTGTTTCTCCCCACTTCTTGAGAGCTCTGACCGCTTCCTAAGTGCTTTACAACAGAACAGTGAACAGTCAAGGCTTCTCTATTAGTTTTATAATAAAGAATCCGTTAAATTCTCTGTGCATTACTTTCAATTTTTAAAATATATTTTAATTCCAAAGCGAACAATAGTGTCCTCAGCATGTTCTATACTCTCATAAAAGCACTCTACAATAAGCCGATCAGAATCCTTGCTATAATAGTTCAAATAATCTGACTGGCTGCACAAGACTAGAGCTGTCAAAAATTTCAAACCATCAAAGTTCACATTCTGCAATTCTTTAAAAACTTAAACAGTTTGGCAGGTCGAATCTAACGCAAGTTTTTTTACATGACAAATAGTAAACAAACTGCTCAAGACCGGAACATCAAGATTGCTCGGGATGACAGAGTCGTAAAACTCGGTTGCATTGACTGATGTGGCCTTCACCACTCAACGCATCGCAAATGAAATCAGAGCGAGCTATTAGTTGTTCACTCGAAGGGTGGTCGATGTAATTTCTGAGGCTTGCTTCACTGGCGATCTCCTTGCCAGCCATGTTGGACATCAGCATGATCGCAGTCGCTCTGACACCGTCATGATTAGTATGAATTATAATAGTTATGCCACTTTGAATATATTTTTTACCATCCCTGTTTTTTTCAGTTTTGTTTTTGAACTCAAACTTTATATACTATACGAGTGTTAGCTGGGTTTGATTTTTATTACTCTAAGTAAGCTTGCAATCAAGTCCATTTCGTTTCCTCTTTGAGGATTTCATTTTCAATGAACGAAAAAAGCTAAAGAAAAATCCCGCAAAAGGGCGGACATAGTCCAATTTGGCAGATAGCGTGACAGCTGTAGCTCAGCTCTATGCTCCATACTCCCATAGAGCACGCTCTTTCCACCGACGACAGCGCGCGTTATATCCGAACTTTATTATAAATAGATATAAAGAATGATGGGAAATAAGATAACACGGGCTGAAGTATGATTATAGGGATAGAAAATGATTCGCATTTTCCAACTCACCTTCACCAAACGTCAAATAAGTCATCGATGAAGTCCAGACTGCGAGTACTAGAAACGCTGAAAATTCCATGCTTCCTCAAGACAACGGGGCTCAATATTGATGCTTTTAGTATGCCGCAAATTCGTGTCGACCACCTGCATTTAACAATGGATTAAGTAATAGAAACCGCCCTTTAAGTATTGAAAATGGGATGTTAACAAAGTTAACAGATGTCAGTCCTGCCCTATGCAAAGTTATTGATGCAAATAACATACATGGGTACCCGTTTTAAAGCCTGCGAATGAACATCTCTTCAATCTCTTCCTTTGTGCCACTTAGAAACCCTTTGGTTTTGAGGGGCTACGATTCCATAGGTGTTCATAAACAGATTAGACTTGGGGATTTTGACACACAAATTTCTACAACATAAACTTCAATTGCTTTATAATTACATTCAATGGAGTGCGTTTAAGACAATAACATTATAAACATATTCTTAGGAATATTAGGTGAACATACTCCGATAATGCAGCCACATAAAAAGTCAAGCTCCCTCGAGTTTCTGAGAAACAACACCTTCAATTTTCAAGATCGATCCATATATTCTCAGGGGAAAATTCTTTGCAAGATTGATTGAAGCGTCGATAATTGACGAAAATAATTTTTTTACAAAAATATAGTGATCGCTGTTGGCGTAAACTTTTCCCTAGAAAAAGACTTTAGCCCTGCCCTTTCATTTTCCAAAAACATGAATTCTTAATTTGGACTATATCTTGAAATAAATCAGAAATTATAAAATAAGTCGCGTTCTTTGATGGATTGTGAGTCTCTTATTTTAATTCGACGAAATGAATGAGGGAAATCGTGTTTGTAGTTTTTAAGCTGTACCACCCACTTTACATCGAGCAGAATATTTTTTCGTCTGGCCCTCCTACTTACTCGAAATAATACGGGAACGCAATAATTTAAAGACGTTTTTCCTTTTTGAAGTCCTAAGGAATTATTCATTTTATCTTCCCTCACATTCATTAACGTCAAGTTTAATTAATGATGAGTTCTAATAAGCTCTTTAGTTTGAAGAAACAGAAAATCTCCCTTAGAACTACTGAAATTCTATAAATTTGCCGAGCAACTTACAACCTATGTCTCCATAAATCAAGATTGCATAAAGAGTGCCAAGGCAGAAACACTCAGATACCTTATAATGATTGTACGCTATCCAGTGTAGACAGCTGCTATACTTAATCCAGATCCTTGGTGAGACGACGCTTTGAATGTTGTTTTAGGCGCCATCTTCATCTCAAGGATAATAGCAAATTGATATTTGGAAAAGGTGTGCCGTAATTTATGGTTGGATTCAGCCAAACTATTCAGTATCGGATCTGGCCTCCAAGGCCTTCATTGGAAGACCTTTTAAGTTATAAAACATGCAAACAAAACATGCATCTAAAACATGCAAATCAACTTCCATACTTTTCAAGGTTCTTCTATTTCAAAATCATCATTTCTGCCATAATATGAACGGAATTCAAACGAGCTGCACATCAGTCTAAGTTTGGGGATAAGACAGAACAATTTGTGAAAGGAAATCTTTATAGGAACAGAAAAATAACTGCCACAGTTTTTGACATGTTGGATATTTCAAATGAAGAAGAT